ACATGGAGATTAGGTTTAACTTTGCCAGATAGTATTTGTAAATAGTTGATCTACTACCACACTATATTTGCATACTATACAAATAAAATTTTATTTCAGTTTGTGAGTATGTGAAACATATTTATGCATGTTATTTTTGTAACCCTTGCATTGCAAGTTAATCTCTCCTGCACAGTCACAAAATTCCTCTGTATTAGTTTTTCCCTTTACATTCTGATTAATCTTCAGCATTTTTAAGAAACCGAAAGCTCAGTCACTATTAAAACAGGTGTTTTATGTATTTAATTGTTAAATTTCTTTACCTCCCAATGGACAAAGCTTTCTTGGTGGATCACAAAACATAAAACACAACATAAAATACACAACCAAAGTTTATAAATTTAAAGCTGCAATATGAAATAGAACTAAAAGCCAAAGGTTTTAAAAACAGCAATAGACCAATTGTATGGTCTCCTAACATCACCTGTTTTCTCCAAGGTGACAACTGAGCCCAGAAGAAGGAAAAAAAGGGGGGCACCAGGGCAAGAGAGAAGGAAGGGGCAGCAGAGTTGCACTGACCCTTACTGGCAATCCAGCCTCCCACTACTTGTTGGTCTAAATCTAGGTAGATGAAAACAACTGTTTAGGTAAAACTGCATGGTGCAAATGGAAGCAGCAGTAGGGGAGAGTGCCTCCACCATGCCTAACATCTTACACCAGATGCTTGTAAACCTCTGAGTTTGGAGGCTTAGAAGTGTCTGTCGTGAGGCTGATAGGCTTGTGCCTAAGATCTAAAACAATAGAAACCAAAAGACTAAAATTCCTGGGAAGGTAAGAAAGTGTTCACATAATACTTTAAAAAAAGTTTACTGTACTAGACAAACACCATGGCCAATACATCAAATGAATGCACATAAACAACAGCATGAAGAATTTCAATGGTATAAATTACACATAAATTAAAATATACTATGAACAGAAATACATATTTAATTTAGCTCTGAATCTCCAATGCAATTTATAACAATTTTGTCTAATTCTCTCTTCCTGATCTTTTTTTGCTGTACCTAATGCTGAAAGAGCACAATGCAGGCCACAGGCAACTCTCAGAAATGTCATTCCACAACCAGGGTACCACAGAAGAAAAGGCCCTCTTCTTAGTAGGTAGCCACCTTACTTTATTAGCAAGGTGCCCTGGAATATATTGTTGATGATTTATCTTAGGGTCCAGGCAGGTATGCAATTTATCCTTTCTTAGTTAAAACAGATAAAATTTTCTAGATGGATTGCATTCCATCTGGTATCCATTATGTCCAGTCAACTTTTTGAAGTATATATCCATGAAGTAAGAGGATTATTTTCTTTGTGCTCTTATACTGATAAGGGCATTCAAATACATTCCCCTTCTGCATTACTTTGAAATTCCAGAAAACAAACTTAGAGCAAAACATGCTGACTTGATACATACATAGTGTAACAGTGACAAACATGAAGACACTGATGATGATCATGATGATGAATTCAGTCATCATGATCATGATCATGATGACTGAATTCATTTTTTGACTATCCAGCAACTGACGCTTTCTGGGTTTTACATGACATTTCATAAACATAGTTACAATAATAAAAAGTTAACAATAAAAACACAAATACAATAAAATACAGCGTACAATTCCACTATACAGAACTTAAAAAGTTTAAACTACAACTATTTCAATAGAGACAGGGTGCTTAGTTTGGCAACTGAACAGTGTCACTTGTGACTTCAGTCGTTTTTTTTTCCAGAAGGCTGCCCCTTTGGGAAATAATATTCTTCTCTTACCCAATCATTTTGAGTTGGATGCAGTGTACAATAAGGTTGCTTGAGGCTTCCCCACCCCCCTGGCAATTCCCCTCCCCAGAAGGCTGTAGGCCAGCGGTATGATGGGTTCCAGGGGAAGGTGAGATCCTCACAAATTTGGTAGTGGCATCTTCTATGAGCATAACAGTCTGGAATCCTAATGATTTTTGGGGAGGGCAGGGTAAGAGAATACAGCTTATTATGAAATTATATCTTAGGACAGATGCAATAACTGCAGTATTAAAAACTCCTGTTTTTACAAATGTATCATATAGAAAGTGATACTGAAAATTATCACTCTGCATGGATAGCAATAGCCATTCTTTGAATAATAAGAAATTTCCACGGATGTAATTCACCATAAATTTCCATAGCCATTTCTTCTTATAAGCAAATGTGGTTCCCAAGGAATGTAAATTAAGTTCAACCACTGAAAACAAATATAGCATTACAACTCAGTATGATTATATGGTTACTATTTATGAGGAACTGAATCCAGATTTAATCATACTCAAAATAAAACTTTTGAAATAAATAGAACATATGTTAGTTGTGACTAACAATGACTAAATCTGGATATGACCTAAGAACCATAGTATAATGAAGAATGCCATCTTTAAGGATTATTTTCTTCATTTAAAACAATTAAATCATCAAAAATTTACAAAGTACTTTCAGCTTTACAGGGTACTTCACTCTGTACTTGCCACAACAGTTTTCAATACCTGTCATTAATTAGTTATTCTAATCTTACCACTCCTCCCACCCTCTTTAATTTTGGGATTGTAGGACTGTGCCAGTATCTTAGAAATCACAATCTACTGTATGTCCCACTGTATTCAATGTATGTCCCACTGGATTGTTTCAGTCCAAGTGGAAGCCAAGTTCCCACGGATCAACATTCTGTTTCTTTCCTTATGTTGGTGATATGGTTGCTGTTAAAAAGGAGATACCATTTCACAAGATAAAAAAGTAATACAAAAAGTACTTTGGAATTTTCTGGTAATTACAGGTATTTGAGTTGTGTGCAAATGGAATTTGAGTTGTTTCAGAAATATAGCCCTATTAGTACATGCACTATACTGTGAATTATTCTTTTCTGTGAGAAGTTTATGATTAAGCTCGGAAGGAATATTCACTGTCAATACCTATTGTACATCAGTTACATTTCCTGCTTGACAACTCATTCCTAATTGTGAAATGGCCTATTCTCTAGAGTTCAAGGAAGACAGCAAGAACCAGAATAAACCAGAAAAGTTATGCTTAAGCAAAGATGCTACTCTGAAATGCACACTTGATCACATTTCAGTGCAGTGTAGAGCAAATGATAAATGCTCAATTAAAAATTCACATGTACGGCATGAATTATGTTTATATATTGAAACTCAATTGTTTTTGCAGATGTAATATGGAATGGAACAAGACATGGCAACATATATGGGAGAATCCACTATAGATATTAGTCACATATTTTCTAACAATGCCAGCTATAGTAGAATGAAAATAAAGAAAGTAATATCCTGTTTTCTTTCTTATTGCTGTAAAACAACCATTCTATTTATCAGGAGCTTATATGTCTTAGTGAGATGGTTACAATTATTTGGTGGCAAAATTAAATAACCTAACAATGATAAAGATATTTGTCAGTGCCTTGTTTTGTCTTTAATATTTTATATCTTTAGATTTTGATTCTGCTTGCATTGCCAAAGAGTTATAGTAAACCATTTAATGAGATATGTGCCTATTTTCTGGCAACAATAATTGCCCATACTTGTGTTGATAGGCAATTAATCATGGATTTCTAAGTTCATTCTATATTGGATCCCAGAGGGGTCCCCTTTGTCCCATTGTTGTTAAAAGTGCGTTTTGAAGCCACTTGTGGACCTGATAAGATGGCAAACATGTAATGTATCCCTAGAAGGTTGATGATTTCCACATTTATATGTCAATGTCTGTGCTGATTGTAGCATTTCCATCTTGAATCTATACTTGAGATCTATACTGTTTTGCTGAGATAGTTGGATGTTTGGCTGGGAAACAAGAAAAATCTGCTTTGTGTTAAATGTATTAGTATTTATATTTTAGTGAAAAAGCATTTGTGTGTGTATGATACACAAACCCTGCTGATTTGCCAAGAGAGTTTATAGTTAGTTAACCTGGTGAATTGCATTATGCAATAATGAATTATAATTGCAATAGTTGAAGTCCTTTGTGCAAAGGAACAATCCCTACACCAAAGCCTAAATTGTTTTGTTTGAATGCTGAGGTAGTAGAGAGAGAACCATTGCGGTATATTTAAAAGGGTTTCAGATGAATGTGTAACCTCCTCTCAACCATAAGGTGGACCGATTTTCAGTCAATCACTGTAAGCTACTTCCTAAGGTTGATACAATGATAAAATGGGAAGAAAGCCCATTTTATTTACTGAGAGTTACTTACAAAGGGGTATATGAGCAGTTCCTCCTCAGTTTCCCACTTTGTATATTTATTTCACTGGTTTCTTTCATCATCTTCAGTCCTTAAAAATCTGAAACTTGGATTTTCTTCTCAGTTTGGTGTGTCTCAATGTTATAGGAATTCAGGACCCTAAATTAATAAAGATAATCTGAAAATATGTACATTAATCAATTATATGTCTAAGACTACAGGGCTTATCTTGGTACTTGGGCTTATGACTTGCATACTTTTATTCTGGTGGGAATAATAATATGAGATAAAAATTTACTTGCATTTTATGTTGCTCCCATTTCAGTTTCAGTAAGATATAAAATCACTTTTTTGTGATTACAAGGACATAAATGCAGGTCACAGGTAATTACTTACTAAAGTACTAACATATTAAAGAGAGCACAGTTTCATTAAACTTGCAGTATGATTCAGCAGAATCTGGACAACTCAGAGGTTTTTGGCTACATTCATTTTTAAGCCAAGGGTATATTGATTCAATTTCCACCACAATATCAAGGAATCTGAAAAACTTGTCCTATGAGACTACACCATGGTGATTGATTTAAATAAATGCTGTGTAGAGTAAACCAGGAGATATGGCACCTTTTTCTTTTTATTCTTATTTATATTGTTTCACACATTATTTATATGACAAGAGATTGCTTGAAGTCAATTAAAACCAATGTCTAATGGACTTTTCCTACTCTTTTGTGTTTGAAAACCCAACTAGTCACCTTTCAAAGAGGAGATGGTGGACTTATGAGCAACGGAAGGTATGCTTACTATTAAACAGCTTAAATTCTATTTCAGGTTCTGTCATATTCAAGGCCCATCATATTTATATTTTTATTAGGAACTTAAAAAGAAGAGTAATAAACTAATAAATAAAATTAGTTGTGAGAGTGACAATTCAAGGAGGAATTAAATAGCTTAGACCAGATTTTAATGATCTGTTGTACACTGGAGGGGAATCAAGTCCAGATGTTTCATATCTCCCAGATGCCTAAGAAGAAATTAGTAGAAAGTATCAGAAGGAATGTGTTCATTTGTTTTCAGGATGTTTATTGCATTAATTAGGCATTAGTAAATGAAGTTGCTGTTGTTTAAGACTCCTTATTGGCTCTCACTAAATTGCTGTGAGTGAACAATTACACACAATCGATCACAAAATAAATGATTCATGGAAGATGAATAGGTTGTAGATGGATTGGACTGGATTCTACAACTTTAGCTACTCAATTGTAATTGATAAAAGTTGATAACACAACCATATATCCTCATTTATTTTCTCTATGCCAATATAGAGACTGTAATTAGGCACTGGTAATAACTTCCAATCTCCTATTTAATCAATATTTTAGCAAAAGCGGGGGGGAGAAGGAAGGAAGAAAGGTAGGAAGGAAGATAGGGAGATTAGGTCTAATGAGAGTTCATAGATGTGGCAAGGGTACTGCTAGATGTTCCTATGGCTGTTTCCATAGAAACCCACATTCCCATTTGGGATTGTGCCAGAATTGGAAGTAGGAGAGAAATAGAATGTTTAAGAACACAAGTAGAACTGGACCAATCTAGAATAGCATTCTCTTTTCCACAAGTTGTTATTTGTTTATTAATATGCAAATAAGCTTGTACATCTTCAGATTCACTTTTCATATTTTGTTCATTATCTTTCTTCTATTTATCTCTCCAGATTTTAAAAAATATTCCTAGTTACCCATATTATTTGAATTGTACTTGACATCACAATGATTGGCTATTTGCAATGAACATGTGCTCAGTCTTTACTTGGTCTCACAATCTGAGATCAAATTCTGTGACTATGAATGCCTGTTGACACAGATAAAAATGCCATTTTGAACTTTCCATTAATCCCACTCAAACCTGCTTGCCTCTAAAACCATGCAAGAGTGCTCAAAGGAAGAGCTAGCAGCTTGTGAATGACAGGCATAAATTTGGGATGCAGGAAGTGAAGGAATAGTTGCCCAGAGTCCTGGAAATGGCTGATACAGAACAGTCACTTTGAGTGATTGTTCCCTTGAGGTGGCAATTTATCATTATCCCTAGTTTAGGACCCTTCAGTGGTATAGCCTACTCTTGGATTTGAAGACAGACAGCAGAGTTCATTCGCTTTCGAGCAGACTTCTAACTGATGTCTTATATTTCCACAGTCCATGTATCTGATTTGTATAAAGTTCCGATTGAGTGTAAAGGCTTTTTATAACCATAAATCTTTCACAGTTTCAATATGAAACATTAATATTTTAACATATAAAGTATGTTATATGGTGTGATGAGGGATATCTGTAAAGTTTCGAACTACAGTTGCATGAAGATTTCTCACATATGTATTTTGTTGTTGTTTTTTCAGTCGTCCAGGACTGTTAAATGCAAGTGATCCCAGTTATCCTTGGCTTGCGGATTCTTGGCCTGCCAGCAGTCTTCCAGTAAACAACAGTTCTAGTGGGCCAAATGATCTTGGGAATTTTGGTCGTGGAGGTATTCTTTAAAAAAAGTTTAAAAATGTTTCTTAGAATTCACCCCAAAGCCATATTTTTTTCTTCTTTTGAAATATTTATTCTTTTTGTGCTCTTCAGCAGAGAGCACAAAAAAAGAATTTCTGGAGGTATTCCTTGCCCAACTGGAATCAAGAGACAGAAATCATTTAAAGAAAGCAGTGGGAAGAAGAAAAATAATTTTAAAAGACTTCTTTCACTTCCCTTCTGCCCTGCTGATATGAACCCAGTCTTTGGATAAAGTTATTTGCAGCCAGCATGACCAATGGTCAGCAAGTTGAGGAATGCTATGCTATAAATCTTATACCACAACGTTAAAGAAATGTTCAATTGCAAACAAATGTCCAACTTTGTACATCTAAAGTTTTACACCTTGACAACTTTGAAAGAACATTTAGAGGACTGTCATATAAATGTGTTCTTCATGCACTTAGTTAACCTGCAGCATAGTTATGATGTTGTGTCATTGTATATTTATTCTGTGTGACCAGTTCTGTTTCACTATAATTTGCTTTGTTTTGTGTGTCTGATTGGTCATTCTCCTTGTTCACTTCCCCTTTATCTGTGAATACAGCATTTAAAACATCATATATCCAACCTCCAAAGATAAATGCATGTGTTTAAGATTTTTGTCCATTTAAAGAGTTCACAGTTTCCTGCATTAAAACTTACAATTTTTAAAATTTTCATTAAATGGAAACATCTAACTTTTTGAAACTTTCATGGTGTAATTGCCACCATGATGATATATCATCAATGTTTCAGCATCACAAAACATACAAGTGAGTGCACTTGAGAGTGCAAGGCTATAGTTTGCCTGTTTGTTTCTTCGCTTAATTAAATTTCTATTCCACCCATTAGCCAGGATAACTCTCTGATAATAGGAAGAACATATACAATAAAAATAAAATTAGACATACAATCTATAACAATAAAATAACATCAATAAAACACAACAAGACCCCACAACAACAACTTGCAACAACTACAGTTCAATTAAACCAAAGGCACAGTAGCTCTAAGATAGAAATATACCATGACCATATTTTTAAAATTAATTCAACTATGAAAATACAGGGTAAATAAAAAGGTCTTTGCCCGGTGCTAATAGAGGGGGTACCAGATAAACCTCTTTAGGGAGCTGGTTCCAGAGTTGGGGTACCACTGTCAAAAAGACTCATCTCCACCCTATTTGCTTTCTTCAGAGGGGGTTCTCTGGGAACAGGCTCAGATGACAATCTTAGCATCTGAGTAGGCACCTATGAGAAGACACATTCCTTTATGAATTTAAATATTAATGGTAATACTTTGAATTGGGCCTGGACTTCAATTGGTAACCAATGTAGTTGACTGGGGTTATCTGTCTGTATCTTATGTCTTAGTTCCCCTTGTCTAAGGGGCCATAAGGATGCTGACGGTTTCCCCTTTTGAGGCTATAGAAAAAACTACAACTTCAGCAGTGGAAATCTGAGCTGAAATTTCTGCTCCCTATCTACCCGAAAGCTCTCTCAGCTGCCACAGAAAACTTCCAACTGATTCCTTTCCTAGCATTGTAGCTCTGATAATGAAAAGTAAGGGTTACAGGGATATATGCAGATGTGCAGGAAGGAAAGAACCCATGGTACATCTGGAACCAATGGCTTTTCATCTTGTCTTTCTGCCTCTGCAGTGTGATTTAGAGATGTTCATAAGCAAGCATAAAGTATTGCACCGGGAGTGGGGGGAGCTGAAAAACTCTCTTGCCCCTCCAACAATGATGTCAAGATCCTGGAAGGATACAGTATGGGCCCTAATTTACCTAGGTTGCTAGCAGAGTTTTAAATTTAAGCCCACAACTAATTACCAGATATCATGTATTTTGTTTACATGATTTATCTGTAATTTAGCTACACTTTAAACAAAAACCCCAGAGGAACTGTCCTGCATCTCCAACAGTTTAGTATTAACATAATTGGCTGATCATTTGATTCTCTTTAACACTGTTGAAATTGTTTATTCAAAAACTATTTATTCATATTTCCCTTATTTTACTGTAAATAAAAAATGGTTAGCTTAGCTTCAAAAATCAAACTGGATAGTGCTTTTTATTTTTGAAGTACTGCATGCCTTGAAAAAAATTACCCAAGCACATTCCATAGTTTTTCAAAATATTCACAAAGAGTACATGTTATGATGGTGAGTGAACAAAGGAAAATAGTCTCTTCTCTGATTTGTAGAGTAACTCTTTTCATCATTTTCTTAGAACACAGACAGTTTCACTGACTCTGCCATGAAATGAACACTTGAAAAAAATATTCAGGACAGAAATATTCCAAACTTTTCACACCTGAAGGGTATGGAGGAAAGATAGCTTTAGGCAGTGAGACATGAAGGACAAGTATAAAGCTTGTCACAGATGCTGATAACAAAGAAGTGGTTGTACATCATCTTCCCTTCATTGGTTCATGGACCCTGTCTCAGATGTAATGCAAGCAGGCAAAATGAAACATTTATTTTCCACATTAACATCTGGGTAGTTTTGTGTTTCCATGTCATACTAATTCATTTCATTTACTTGTTTTCATCGCAGATATATTGCCTCCAGTGCCAGGCCAAGGGGATAAAACTGCCACAATGCTTTCTGACGGAGCCATCTATAGCAGCATTGACTTCACTACCAAAACTAGTTACAACAGTTCAAGTCAAATAACACAGGCAACCCCATATGCCACAACGCAGATACTGCATTCCAACAGCATCCATGAATTGGCAGTCGATTTACCAGACCCCCAGTGGAAAAGTTCAATTCAGCAAAAAACGGACCTAATGGGATTTGGTTACTCTTTGCCTGATCAGAACAAAGGCAACAATGGTGAATCTAGTTCTTATTTTTCTTATACCAATTGTTCATAAGTTTTCTTTGCATGGCTATAGAATTCCAGCTTGTCTTTCCCTAGTTCCCATTTTTCTTAATAGTTCCCATGCATGAGTCCTTAGTTACATAGGCAACTAACTGTATTGTGCTATAATTTCAGCTCACTCATTATTTGCCAGTGTCACAACCTACCTGTGCACCACATCGCTGCCATTAGGACACACTAAGTTCAATATTTTCTACAGTCCTACCACACTGACTGATTACCAGCTAACTGCATGTTGTGCATGTGCTATAAACTAATCACATGATGGCACTGTGACCTTTGCCCTTTAACCCTTAGCCTTACTTTACATCCCTGACTACCGATTGGCTGAGGGATTGTCTAATAGAATGCCACACAACCAGTCACAGGATTTCAGCACAACCAGCTCTCACAACAGCTCAGAAAGAAGTGGCAGCCTCTCAGGTTGGTTTCAATACAATGTGTGTAAGGAGAAGTGTTTATGCTTGTAAGCAGCTTTTATCCATTCCCAATGACAATCTTGAAAGAGTGAACAGTATACTAGGACTCCGTGTTCAGATACTGCAGTGTGCCTTTTATTTAGATATTTGTGAGTGTGTTGCTACCATCTATAAAACCATGGTTTCGATAAAGAAAAGAAACACCTGTGTGCATTATTTGCCCTAACTGAACAAGAAACCCATTTAGAGATAATAAGAAAATATTTGTAGCCTTTGTACCCTGTGTATTCCAGCATGATTGGAAATCTTATTTTGTAACACTCTCACTTTTCTGGCACAATGCTGACTTTATTCGTAAATCAATCTTCACTGTATAGTACTGGCTTTCTCTGAGGAGCTTCTTGATGAGGTTAATATTTTGGTTGTATCATTTCTGAACCACCCAATTCCTGGGAGGCTTCACAATATTTTTATTGTACACCAAGAGATCCATCCAGAGCAATATACTGGAATCAAAAGATAAGCTTCTTATTTCAGTATCTGTTTGAAAGTTTCAGAGCTGCATACAAACATAAGACATAGGTATTATACTGCATGCTGTATTATAATCATTATACCATGGAACTGAAAAATGGGTCAGCTAGTATTAGACATCGCAGCAAACAATTTCTTGTTCATAGATTATATGTCATTTTAATAATTCATTTTAAAAATCTGGTATGAAGCTATTTTAATAACTTCATTAATGTTGCCATACCAGCTCCATTTATTTTTATTGTGTTTTTCCTTTGCTTTCCTATAAGCCTTGATTCTCAGAGCCTTGTGAAACTTTCAGTTACTCTTTCCTACCAAAATGTTCCTCTGTGTAACTCCCTGTTCTCATTCTCTGTTCCTTGTCCGACTCTTTCCTTGTTGCATTCTTCCACTTTGTGGTGCACCACACAATGGTCACTATTTATTAGTATGTCTTCCCTCCAACTTTCAATATATTACCTGAAATTCTTCTTGTATTGAGCTGCCTCCTTGTGTCTTTGTTTAGCTAGTCTTCTAACCATCTATAGAATGTGGTTTTTCTCTCAGGGCAGGAGAAACAAAACCTAAATTGAATATGTGTAAAATATTACAAAAAGAAGCTTATATGTGCTTTTTGAGTGAATGTCCCAATAGTGTTCTAGCAAAAAGAAAAAAGAAAGAAAAACCCAATTACATTTACATTTTGCATTTTATTGAAGATCCATGTTTGTCCTTCTGAGTAGAAAGAAAAATAAACTTAAATAATAAAGTTTTTGGTTGTGTCCTTAGCTGCTTTGTTCAGAGGGTGGAGGGAGAGATTATGCAAAACAGTATTATAAATACACTGGGATTTGCCATTTGGAAGAGTTTGCTGTGGTCTATTATTTTTTTCCTAACAAAGGCTGCATGGAGGCTTAAAACAGACATGAATAAATCAATAAATATAGTTTTGATCCAGCAAGTGCATTTTAACTTTTATTCAGCTTATGCTTCATTGTAACTACACTATATGAAGTGTGTGAAATAAAAAGAAGTAATTCTGGGCAATTATACAGACTATTTCCATTCCATTCCACCCTATTATTATTTATAACCTTATGACAACTATAACACGTTGCTGCTGATGTTGCTAAGATAAAAATACTCTTTCTCTCTTTTTCTTTTTGAGTGTGCCATCTGGAATCGGAACTCTTTCACAAAACATAAATACTCAGCTTTGTTTTTCATACTTCTATAATGTGTCTTGATTTCAGGTGGGAAAGGAGGGAAGAAAAAGAAAAACAAAAATACTTCCAAGCCTCAGAAAAATAATGGGTCTAACTGGGCCAGCATTCCTCTTCCACCCCCACCGATACAGCCTCTTCCAGGCACGGAACTAGAGCACTATGGGGTAGATCAGCAAGAAGCAGGGTGATGTATTCTTTTTTCTCAATTGTGTTAAATTGTAGGTCAATGTCTCTTAGTTATGTGTGTAATATGTGCAAGCACCAATCTGATTCTGTTGTTTGAATATGGAGGGACTAGATATTCTTTGTAGCAACACAGCAGCTTTATTTTAAACCTTGTCTGAAAATCATTCACCTCATCAGTAAAGGACTGAATTTTGGAGCAAATGGGTCTAATGCACTTTTCCAATGGCCTGGAATATTCCTCTAGCCTTCAGAAGATTGCATTATGCAGACAGAGTTAAGGGAAGAGAAACAATTTCATACTTTGGATCCGGAAAAGGGAAAGAGTAAATCTAACTAATATGGAAGTTCAGCTTTTAAGTTAAGAAACAGCAACTCCCCTCAGGGCTATGCTGCTGGGTTTTAGCGACTGCATGCTCCCAGTAGGCTATAACTGTAAATGTGTAAATAACATAAATATTACATAGGCAGCAAAAGTCTCTGTCTCCTTCTCATGCTCTTTCTTATTCTTATCAAAAGGAAACAGCTGCCCTTGGTCTTTCACTAGGTTGCTGATTGAGAATGTGCCACTTATTTCTCTTTTACCTAGTCAAACACATAATGGTTGATTTTCCCCACCAATTATTAAGCATCCTGGGAGTAGGGAACTTGGTGGTATCAATGAAGGCCCCTTTCCTCCCAATCATCTGTTAAGTAAGATTTGATAAATGAAACACGAATTACTCTGATAAGCTCCATCTCCAGCGAAGCAGATGAATATTTTTCTCTGCACATCCTTCTGAAAAGAACCCAAATGGACAACATAATTTGCCACCTGCATGTAAATGTGGCCAATAAAATAAATTAATAAATAGCCAGGCTCTCCTAGGCTTCTGTAGGAATACACATCATAAGTCAAAGAATCATAAGTCAAAAGAGATCTCATATTTATCTCGTCATGTTCCTTGATGATGCCAGAAATTTACTACTAGAGAATCAATCCTTCATTAAAAACCTCTCAAAATAGAATTCATTAATATGCAAGGCTGCTTGTTCATTATAGAAAACCTTGAATGTAAGAAAGTATCACTACATCAACTGTGCAGCTGATTCTTCCTAGCTGGAAAAAGAAACAGAAACATAGAAACAGAGCAAGTCAGAAGGGGCCTCCCTAGTCTGACCTCTGGCACCAGCCGGCTCCGCTCACGACATGCCCACCATGTGCACGTCCAGCCTATCCTTGAACAACCGCACCGATGGGGCCTCAACAACCTCTCGTGGAAGCCCATTCCACACCCTCAGGGTCCTGACTGTCAGGAAGTGCTTCCTGGCATCCAAACGAAACCTTGGCTCCCTGAGCTTTGCTCCATTGGAGCACGTTCTGCCTTCCTCTGCAGGGGAGAACAGGTCTCTACCCATCTCCATGTGACATCCCCTCACATATCTGTATGTTGCCAACATATCCTCTCTGAGTCTCCTCTTCTCCCGGCTGAAGAGACCCAGTTCCCTCTGTTTCGTCTCATACAGCATCCTCTGCAAACCGGCCACCAACCTTGTAGCCCTATGCTGTACTGACTCTACCCTGGCTATATCCTTTCTGTAATGAGGGGCCCAAAACTGAGCACAATACTATTCCTATGCCCCAAGTGCAAGACCTTCCACTTATCCACACTGAACGCCATCCTGTTGTCTCCTGCCCACTTCCAGTCTGTCCAGATCCTTTTGGATCTGGAGTACCTGCTCCTCAGTTGTGGCCACTGCTCCAGTTTTAGTGTTGTCTGCGAATTTGATCAGCAGACTGTTCACCCCTTCTTCCATGTCATTAATGAAAAGATTAAACAGGATCGGCCCCAGGACAGAGCCCTGGGGGAGTCCACTTGTCACTGGCTGCCATCCCAATGATTTCCCACTAATGGCTACCTTCTGCTTTCGGTCAGTCAACCATGCCCTAATCCACCGGACAGTGCTTTGGTGTATCCCAAAACTCCTCAGTTTCTCCACCAGGATATCATGGGGCACTTTGTCAAAGGCCTTGCTGAAATCCAGGTATACCACCTCCACTGCATCCCCTTCATCTAGCCACCTTGAAACCTTGTCATAGAATTCCACAAGGTTTGTCTGCCAGGACCTGTTTTTGCGGAAGCCGTGTCATGTGGCTGTCAGCCTCCCTTCCCTATCTAGCATCACTAGATCTCTCTCTATTATGAGCCTTTCCATTGTTTTTCCTACAGTGGACGTAAGGCTGACAGGTCTATAATTCCTCATGTCCCTTCTACTACTTTTTTGAAAATTGGGACCACTGATGCCACCCTCCAGGCCTCTGGAGCTTCACCCGTTCTCCATGAGGCCTCAAAAATGGAGGCCAGCGGGCGTGAGAGAACCCCTGCCAACTCTCTAAGTACTCTCGGGTGTAACCCGTCAGGGCCTGGCGCCTTTGTAATGTCCAATGCCCTGAGGAGCCCCTCGACTTCAAGGGGGGTGACTCTATCTGTGCCCCTAAGTCCCCAGCCTCATGTAATCTCCTATGCGAATATCCCCCGTCCTGCTTTGGGGAGAACACAGAGGCAAAATAGTCATTTAGCATCTGTGCCTGTTCCCTCATATCAGTCAGTGGATCTCCTTCCTCCTTATTTAGTGGTCCCACCACTTGTCTCCCCTTCCTTTTCCTATTTACATGCTGAAAGAAGAAGTTTGCATGCATATCAGTTTACTTATTTTGAGGATATAGGAATAAGTAAATCTGATGAGTATGACTGGCACTACTTATTCTTGAAAATTCCATGCTGGCTTTTTGTGAAGACCCCTCCCACCCCATCCCTAAAAGTTACTGCACTATTCCTTAACTATTTGTTCTAAATGTTTTTCAGGTATTGACATCAAGCTGATAGGATACTCTCCTCACCTTCTTGTTTTTGTCTGTCTGCCTGTTTTTGTAGATGAGGACATTTGTGTTTACCAAGAATTTTCAGAAATTATAGGCAGAGGCTCTGAGATTACATTGTATAACTTCATTTGGTGCTAGTTGTTAGACTGTGACAACTTGAATTAATGTAAAGTTGCAAGGTACTTCTGTACCACCTCTATTTATCTAGGCTGCTACTCCTACCCTTCATTATTATATCTGTTTTTGCCAGGTCAAGCACAGTTTCCCTTATGGGGGAAAACTGACACAAATTCGGAATTAGCAGAGTTTGCCTTCTCTGTTTCATCTATTAGCATATTTCTTTATTTTTGCGGTGGACCTACTATTTCCTTGTTCTTTCATCAAATATTGCCAATTGCCACTTTTTTGCTACTTTTACCATTCCTTGCAAACCCAAGTTCTTGACACTCTCTAACCAGAGCCTTCCCCAAGGCTTTCCAGATCTGTTGATCTACATTTTTGCCCAGAGACTGGGAACTGTAATCCAGCACATCTGGAAGTCACCATCTTGGCCAAGGATTCTCTGTGATCTTTGGATTGTTTCTACTTGCTCTTCATTATTGGCTGCTCTTTGCATTTACTATAAATGTATCTGCATTGCAGCTATCCTAGTTTCTTGGATGATTTCAATTTCTCTTGCTTACTGGAATGATTGTAATTGTTTCTTCCATGTCACTCCCATTCTGAACTCCTTTCTCCTCAGGTAATTGGGATTGCATCCAGTATTTATTTGAAATTTATTGAAATCAGACTTCCTAACATCCAGGATGCACATCTGGCCTGGGTTAGCACACCCTTTTCTCAGTATTATGAATCATCAGGTGCTCATCTTCACCTAAGGACCACACTATTTTCACTTTATCAACCATGTATTCCTTGTTAATGAGTATCAAAGCTAGGACACTTTATTTTCTTGTCTTTTCTAACATTTTCTCAAAGATATTTAAGTGCTTTTCTGTCACCTTTAAACTTTTAAAAAGAGTAGCAATTTACCCCACCTCCCAATCTGCATTAGGCCCAGGGTGGAGGGTTGTTTCATACTGAAAATGTCCACAAACAGCTTTTCACCCAAATTGGGAGGGGGGATATGAGTTAATAGATTGTTAACCCCTTTCCCTGACTAATGTGATACTTACAATTTTATTCCAACCATAAAAGTTCCGATAATCAGGCTGAGTTTTAATGGGATGTTATTATGAATGGAGATAAGAATGCATGAACTCTGAGAGAAAGGTCTAAAACTTACTTACTGCAGTAAAACAGGGAGGGAAAAGGAAAGCAAGTAACTAAAACAAATCTCACGAGCAGAGAATCTCACAAACTCTAGAGCTATATCCCAAGTTAAAAAAGAACACAAGCAATTGCAACCAGCTCTCTTATAATAGTTATTTTACAAAAAACCAGCATGAAGACAAATTACAAAACTCAAACAATCTCAGTGTTCTTAGCAACAGCAGATTACACCAGTGCCAAATGCAGTATGTAAAACTTGATTTGTTCAACAGAGTTTTAGACAAAGGAAGAGGCAAAAGATAATGAACTGAGCACACTACTGGAAACTGAAACACTGCTAGTCATCAAGTTTTCCTTGTAACAGCTTTGGGTGTCTTGACTTGGCTTAGGTCCTAGACCTAGTCAGTGACTCATAGAAGGCAAACATTAAACAAACACCTCAGCTGTTCTTATTCAGTAGAATAACATGACTTGGGGAACTTTGCACAAATAAGCTTTGTTGTTGTTGTGTGCCATCAAATCATGTCTGATTTAAGGCAATCCTGTAAGTAAATGCCCTCTAAACTGTCTTGCCCTTGATAGTCCTGCTCTTGCAAGGATGGTTCTGAGACAGAGGACTTTTAATATTCCTTCAAGTTGGGGGTTGTAAATAGCACAAACTGTTCCATCCAAAATCTGATTCCTGGGAAATAATATTTTTCAGAATGCACTTGCAACAACTGGTTCTATCCACATTTTCCAATGTTTCTGTCACAATGCTGCTATCTTTCGAATAACTTGCAACATCTTTTCTTCCACCCTCTGTACGACAGCTGACTTCTCCTTTCTTTCTTCATCTGGCCCATTTTACTTTTCCAACACAAAAAGTAGTTATCTTCCTGTAGGTCTTTAGTACAAGTGTGTGAGGCAAGGAAAGAGCTTTGAAGGCATTTTGGAAACTCCCTCTGGACTAAGAAAGAATTGTCATACAGTGAATAGCCAAGCCTTCTGTGGAGAGGATTAGCCAAAGTCTTATTTGGTTTTAGAAACAATATTTCTATGTCCAAACAGTGGGCCTAACTTACCTTATAATAATTCAGTATGGATTTAATTACAAAAGAAGAAAACGAGTTAAGTGTATTAAAAGAAAATCTAGTCTTTCCCCCTTTTCTGTGTAAATTCCAAGTTGCACCATGCCACTGTCTCAATCTGGATCAGGGTTTTGCTATTTGTAGAAGATTCCACAATAATAGAGGTATATTCATGTATCTCCACTGATATGCCTAGTTCAGTCTTAAATACCTTCTCACTTTCCTCAGAAAAGCTGGTATAGAATATTGTTATATCCACCTATCTAGATTCAGTTGTAGAAATGTGATTGTAAATCACATGGAAATCTAGAGACAACCATGGTACATTTGAAAGTATTGACAGCTTCTTGGATCTTGTGCCATATTTACCAAATATAAACACACTTTTAGGTTGGTCTTAAGGAACAAGGTGAAAAGTTTGCTTTTCCCCTTTTTGACATTCAAAATTTAAAAACCTGCTATTTAAAATTCACCAATAAATATGATAAATTCTCTCTTATTTCAAGAATCAGCAAGTTTCCAAGCACTGTATAAGGAAAACATTTTTCCTGGTTGAACTTTCATTGTATGAATTTCAGTCCTCAAGCTTCTTTACTAGTACAAGCCCACTTTCCCCTAAAAATTTGTCTGAAAGGAACAGTTAGGAATTTAATTATAATTGAAAAGAAAGAAGTGGATATCTGCACTTTAATGCATTTTTTGTTTTCAGCTCAGATAATTGTGCAATAAAAGATAAATAACTTCCATATATCTGTAAGGCATCACACTGATAACTAAGACAAGTAAATTGATTCATTGTCTGCCGAGAAAATTTTGTGACACAGGCCTTGACTTCTTGGTTGTGTATAGTATCTATTATTTGGCTGAGAAAATTGTGTTTGTCAGGACAGCATTGGTTATTTAAAGCTAAGTAATCTGGGATGCTGACACATACTTTCAAGTTTCACACGACTCAGTTATTTAAAATGCTGTATTGACAGTAACTACTGTTTTTCTTAAAGTACAGCTTTAGAAATGAAAACTCAATCTGAAAAAGCCAGATCCCTAGGAAACATTCAGCACAATGTGCATAACTTGCTATTTTATTCCAGTAAATTATAAATTTAGAAATACAAAAGGAAGTGCTAGATTTTGCAATTAATATGTGGAAATAAAAGTGTATGTGCACATTTGCATTGCATAATATATGTGTGGGCATTCAAGTAAATGGGGAAGGCAGGCAATGGGAATACTGCTCGTTATTTCAGGTGAATTCCTCCCTGTTCAGCTCAGAAAAAAAGTGAATTAAGGGGAGATATGGTAAAGGTGTTTAAAATAACATACAGTGTGTGGAAAACGGAGAGGAACACAATTCTCTTCCTTTCCCATAACTATCAGACCAAGGTCAGGAAGCTGATTGGTAGGGAGTTTAGGACTGATAAAAAGTATTTCTTCACACAATGAATAGTTAAACTATGGAATATGTTGCCAGAAGATGCGGTGATGGCCACCAATCTGGATGACTTTAAAAAAGGATTGGACAGATTCATGACAGAGGACACTATCATGGACTGGCCTTGCTGACTATGTAGTACCTCCTTTACCAGAAATAGCATGCAGTCATATACCAGTTGCTGAGGTCCTTGCACCCATCCTGCTTGAGAGAACCTGTGGGCAGCCGGTTTGCCCCCTTTGTATGGAGTACTGAACTAAATAGACCTTATGTTTGATCCAGGATGGATTTTCTTAAGTTATTATGTTCTTATATACTTATTCCAAATAGTGTGTAGGGGCAATGGGAGCAAATTGCAACAATCTGAATGCAAGACTTGTTCTGTTGAGCAAATCAGCCATGGTTTTATTCAAAGGCCAAAAAAAAAAAAAAAAAAAAGTGCAAGAGGAAGCATAGTTACCACAACCATAGTGCTCTTTCCTGAAAAACACAGTTCAAAGTTCATATATTTCAGCATCATGGAAATTCCTTCTCCATAAAGAAATTATTAAATGAATACTCTTTTAAGGAACACATTTGTTTTGCATTTTCTAAATTATTACAAAGGTACAAATATACAAAATATGTAACATTAATTCCTATTTCCTCACTTCAGCCAAATATTCCATTTTTAGTTCCAAAGAAAAATATAAGCATACAGTGACATTAATGTGTTTGATTTTGGATAGTTGTGATTTTTGATCATTATTGTCTATTGCTGTTTTAGCAAGTTTCCAGAGATAACAATGAATTGCTGGTTGTTTCATTGTTGTACTGTTCCTCCTAATATACTGAATAAACATACATCATGTTTTGTTAATTACCTTTCAATCCCATGATTTTCCAAGCTTTAAAATGCTTTGATAGCCTTTCCATGATGGCAGTGTTCCATATCTTTTCCAACCAAGTCTCCAGGATGAAATTAGCAGCTGTTCCCCATGCGTACATGTTAGGTCTTGTAAATTATCAACAAGAAATTTAACATTGCTAGTTTGGGATCACCATTTGACCAGCAATGGGGTTTCCTAAAGGTTTGAATTTTCTCACAGCTCTGCTGCTTAGGGAAGTAAGACCCTCATTTGCCAACATAATCTCCAACAGAATGGACTAAATTTGAAGGTTATTCTGCAACATTTTATAGGTGGATACTGCCATGGACAGCATTATGTATCTTGCTGTGTATGTAATATTTTTATTCTGTTTTCTTGTGAAATGATTTGAGTGGCCATTTCCCCTATCATTTTTTTCCAATCTGACAAAAGCAATTCAGGCTGTTTTTTAATGTTGATTTTTAAATGTCCAGGTTCTCTGCCATTTAGAACCTTCTAATTGTTTAAGTATTTTCTCATATTTTCTCATAAATGTCATATTTAAAATTAGGTTCTTAGTGGAATTTGGAAGTCTGACATGGGATAAAGCCATAGAATTGGAAGTAAAATGGATCAGTTGCTAGATTCTAAATTGATAGTTGTCAACTGCAACATTTTGCAATGTGTAATTCAGTTGCATCCCTGTATATAGTTTCATATCTGTATTAAGTTTTCTAAGTATGTAAGGACTTTTTTTAGTTTTCAGTCCTAAAACTTGTTCTCTAGTTTTGTTATAAAACAGAGACTGATTGCAAAACAAAATAAAGATAAGAAATGAGGTGACCCTCCCTTTTTTGGTCTACATAGTTTTGGTCTATGTTTTATGATACTTTCAGATCATAAACTGAAATAATTTATATTTTAGGTATGACAGTGATGGTTGGTGTCCACCATTACCAGTCCAGACATACTTACATCAGGGAATGGAGGATGAACTTGAAGAAGAAGATGACAGAGTTCCTACACCTCCTGTCCGAGGAGTGGCTTCTTCCCCTGCAATTTCCTTTGGACAGCAGTCCACTGCAACACTAACACCATCTCCACGGGAAGAGATGCAACCTATGCTTCAGGCCCACCTTGATGAATTGACCAGAGCCTATCAGTTTGATATAGCAAAGCAAGCATGGTAAATGTGAAAATAGCTTGGTGTCTGGACAACGGAACATATCAGAAGACATAGAATATAAAGAGTAGCATTCCAGGTTGACAGTGCATAGCTTTGAAAGTTACAGCTAATAACAATTGTGGGAAACAGACAAAGAGAAAGGGGGAGAGAGATTAAAAACTAGGCAGATTTGGGCAGATGTGGACCATGGCAGCATCATAACAGGGATCCATTTTGGGGTGGGAAATTATCCTTTTTCCAGGACACAGTCTCCTGAACTCCAGTTTGCTTTGTCATGGTCTTGAGATTGAATTCTCAGTGACTTCATCCAGTGTTCATGGGGCACTTGCCAAGAATCAATGCCCCTGCACTGTGTAACCAGAATTCCCTTTCAGCAACACCTACAACAGGTTTTATGCTCCTGCAAATGAGGCAGAAGGTTGCTGGTAGCACATCCTTCATCCCATGAGTGTTCACAGAGTTCTGTTTGGATCAGTTTGCTTTCTAAGAACAGGCAAAGCATGAGAACATCTCAAACCTAGACCAGCGAAACTGCCTGCTGTTGAACAAATGATGATTTCTCAACTTCTAATAGCTGTGTACAGGAGAGAGATTCAGGACTCGTTTCTCCTCCTAGTGTGTCTTCAGTATCTGTATCATCTCCCTATATCTTACTGTTGCACAATAATATATTTTACTGAACACAATCCTTGATTATGAGTTAAAATAGCATTTTAAAAATTAAGATCAGCTCAGTTGAGCTTCTTTTTAACGTACAAGATTTCTGCCTTTCAGGAAAATTTTACAATTCCAAACTTTACTGAAATTAGTATTAGTAAGCTGCACTTACTGGCATATCAAGCTTAATGAAGACTAATCTGTAAAATACAAATTTCCTGTGTAGTTAATGATTTCTATCAGGGTCTTATGATATTAACTATCTTGATAGAGGATTTTTTAAAAGCCTACAAATCTATGGACTTTTTAGAAATCATGCCAAATTTCTGAGGATGTTAGGAAAGAAATCCAGTAATATTTTTTACCACAGATTAATTGCTGTGGTAAATTTGTTTGCTAATTTGTTAAATTGCTAATAGCTAATTTGTTAAAGTGGACATAATTCCTGGGTTGTTTAGCTATTCAGCTGTATCTGTAGTTCAGGAAAAAGTCTTAAACTATGCAGAGCAGATACTATATTAACTGCATTTATGGTATTCAAAGAAAGAAAGAATGAAATACCAAAGTGATACAACTGTGGGAGAGAAACTGCTCACAGACCGAATATAACAAAACTACTGTTACACAACAGAAAGTCTCCAGCTATTTTCAGATCTCTTAATGTGTAGAAATACCATTTTAAAAGCAAAACAACTTCAGCAGTACAAGAAAGGTCTGAGAAAGTGAAATGAAATGATGCTGAATGGCATAGTGCCAGACAAAAAAGTGGGAATATTTCCTGACATACAAAGGCCACAACTTACACTGAACAGTTATTATAGGTCAAAAAGGCTTGTATGAATTTTCTGTTGATGCCAAAACCAGCTGGTTTTTTTGGATAATTTTCAGTACTCTGACCTCGTTTTCAAGCTACAGCCAATCAACAGAGTACTTAGGCTATCTCCTCTATGGGATATACTTGTTTATGCAACAAGCCAGAAGCCCCAGCATCAGCTAATTCAGGTCTAGGTTAAATGTATAATTGTGCCAGGCAGGACACAGATGCATGCCCTGGCATGTTTTCAGCCTCTACCTTGCAGCTGTTACGCTTCCTGTGGTGGCATACAAACTGCAGGTGCAACTTTTGGTGTCAGTTATCATCATGAATCTCATTATGTAATCTGTGCTTTTTATACAGAGAATTGTGCACCCAGTGTACACCACATATGATAATCTAAGCGTGCCTTGGTATAACTGTGCTTCAACCAAATGCACTTCTTTTAATTCAATAATAAAATGCATGGCACTGAAGTTGTCATTCTTCATCTCTCTCTTAAACCAGCAATTGCCTGGTATATTTATTTTTATATATTTATTTGTCAAACTTCTATAGCACTTAATATAATAAAATTCCTGAGTGATCAACATATAAATATTAAAACCATGTTTAAAATAACTTTATTAAAAGCGATTAAGAGCATAGACTAATAAAAGTAGTAGTATGATAGCAGCATGATTGATTACTATCTCTTACACTCCAGATAAGCCATATTTGGCAAGCATGCAGAAATTCATGTGGAACAAACATTAAACAATGGAAATAACTTTGTCTTTTCAAATGCAATGTATAAATGAGCATTAAATCATTGCTACAAAAATATGTAGTTATGACAATGTTCAGATATACAAAGTCCCCATCTGTTGCAGACATTTACTTAATAAGGCTCATAGGAAAGTTGCTTCCTTAAGAAATAGTAAATATATTTCCAAAGGAAAGGGTTTAACTTTTATATATCCCGATCTGTCAGGCACGTTCAAGCTGGATTATTGTCAGAAATCCCCCATTAATAGAAATGTTTTTCGCCCATTAGAGATCTTTATGTGAATCTTCTGTAAACCACACCATGAAGTTTCACTTAGAGATAGTCTTGTTTGCATGGCAACAGTGTAGTAAATATTGTAGAAAAAGTCTGTGCACAAAAGTCCAGTTAACAGTATAAAAATCTCATCTTTTCAAAGTTTATGGCCAGCATCCAAGGTCTTCACTCAACATATGTTTCAAATAGGAATTTGAACTTTTATATACATTACCAAGCCCTGGTCTGACCACTTGATATCTCTGTAGTCCAGTTTATGGTTCATGTGAGACTTTAAGTCAGTAAAGGCACAGTGCTATGTATGCTGAGACAGAAAAAGTCCCATAACTCCCAGCATTCCTGAATCAGAGTGGGTGAGGAGTAATTGTAGAGCTGTCTAAACATACATAGGACTGAACCCTGAGGAAATGCAGAAGAGAATACTGATCAGTGGACTCTTATTTGGGGCAAATTATGACATCATCATCATCATCATCATCTCTATACTTCCCACAAACTGAAGCTCTCTAGGCAGTTTACAAAAACTTCATTTATTTGGTTATTTTTATCATGTAACATGCAAGATTCTTGTAGCTTACTTGAGAATACTGTGTCAGTTGCCCAATCCTATAACTCAAGGGTTGGGACTTAATAATTACTTTTGTATCCTTGAAGGTCTTTGCTCTCATTCTTTCCTGTAGGTCAGTAGTCCATACAGCAGTACCACAGTTTATATTTTGACATTTTACTCTGATAGTTCCTGCAACAAATAGAAGGTTGTGTATTCTTTTATCTTGAAAAAGAAGAAAGACTTCAACAGTTTTGTAGCATGGAAATTAGCCCATTCTAAATATGACCTACCTAAAATCACTACCAAAAGTAGTAAATGAACATTCCATTGGTTTTAGAAGCAATTTCTTGCACTCCATCAGGAATAATAAAATCCTTTACTTCCAATGTGTATCAGATTGTGTGTCTTTGGCCTGTGTATCTGACTTGACATATTGTCATAAATGAACTCAAAAGAACTCAAAATGAACTCAATACCAGAAGATGGATAAATTGATACATTTGAATAAGTGTCATGCAGAATATTAGCATTTTTAGAATCATTTAGAGATAATGCCACAGTTTAATTTCTCGCTAGGTGTTACTTCACTCCACCTGACATACCATATTGTAGAGCGCATAATATCAATTCACTATTAAGGCCAATTTTACATAATTCTGTTTGTGATGTACTGAAGAATTGCCAAAAGCACATAGGAACACAACTGATTGGAATATTTGATCACATGCTTATATTTTTACTGACTGAAATAAATGGGACTATAAAAAGCTTTACATTGACCAAATGTTCTTATTTTTTAAAAGACTGCTGTTAAGTGTGGTGTTTAACCTGATGCCTTTTCCGCATGGTTCTAGGCACAGTCAAAGCAATACTCAGCCCCCTCAGACCCCAGTACCACCTTTAGGATATGTGTCAGGAACTCTAATATCAGATTTGGAAACAGATATTCCAGAGGATGATGATGAGGAGGATGATATTGAAGAAGAAGAAGAAGCTATAGAAATTACAAGGCCACTGAGAGGACTAGAGCATACTCCAGGCTCCAGCATGGACAATTTAGACAGCTCCGTGACAGGTAGGCAAGCAAAACTTACAATAAACCCCATTTGTGAATGTGTAGAATATGCCATAAATAATATTTAAGGACATTTTATTCTGTTCTATTTCTGTTGTGTATAAAATGTGTTCATATGAAGCACAATAGTTAAGGGAGGTTTTGAAAATGTCTTTGCTTTGCCATAAATGATAAGAAAATTCATGAATTTTAAAAAGCTTTCAAGACATGAAAAAAAACCTCAATTATATCCTAGCTTTCATGGACAGTTCACGCTACTGAGAACGCAAGTCTTACTACATGTGAGGTGGAGATAGAAGAAAAGAATATTAACCTTTAAAATGATATATTTTGTATCTCAAGAGAAACATGTAAAACTGACTATCTGTAAAAGACTTTTAATTTTTTTATTTTCATTATTTTTTTCTTTTTTTGCATGGTGGAACTGTGATAAAACAAGGAAGTTAAAAAGGTTGTTTTCTCGAATAACCTCAGAACATTTAGTTGGAGAATCAAAGAGCTTAAATGTGGTGACACAGTCATTCTGTGCCCACTTCATATTTCTGGATTTAATCTCTGTTTGCTTTCAACCAAAAAAACCCCATTAAATTAACCAGACATCTTTTGCTTTAGTTTTCCTTATTCCTTGCATGCCTAGAGAAGTTACAAATAGGATAATAAAAGTTAAACCTCGAAAAACTACACTTGCTCAGCATGAACTGGTAATAAAATTGCTGTGAGTAGAAGATAGGTTTCATTTTTTCATTTTTTTTCAAAGAAGATTTCATTTTTTTTGAGAAAGTGCTGGTTTTTAGTTGGCTGTCATGACCTTATTCTAGGCCTTACCTTTCAATTGATGTTGCACCTGTACTTAATGTACTGCATCTAGGTTTCTGAGGACCATTGGTAACCAAGCATGCATGGTCTATATAGCTCATTAAAAATATTGTACTTCTCTTCAGTCATTGATCTTTATGTGGCAGTATTAATTTCTAATATGTTCTCAGAATATTTCTCCTAACTGAAGATACGTTAATGCAGTTTAGTTTAATGTTTGCGTGTGTGCATGTGACTTGCAATTTGTATTATGCATGCTATGACCTTATCTGAACACATGAAAACACATTGCAGTATCTACTGCCAAGGTAGGAATATGACAGTAATGAAGCATCAGTACTTCAATTTTCCTCTTTTCTCTTTTGTTGAAATACAAGGAGTTCTCTTTTTATCCTGCTTTCCACTCTTCCTTCCCCTGTGCCCTGGAGCCAGACTACTTGCCAAGCCAATTAAGATTTGAGAATGGTAGCTTGACTGCTGTGATTTGATATCCAGATCCAGAACTGAAGCCTTGTTCCTACATTTATATCTCTGAATTTGTAAGACTGGCTTCTTAGTTTTAAAAGGAGCATTTTAAGTTCTTTTCATGACTTTTCTGGAATTTCTGGCATAATCGACTTCAGGCTGTAATTCTGCATGTAGGCAGTCCCCAAGTTTTGAATGTCTGAATTATGAACAACCTGTACTTATGGACGAACTGCAATTAAGACTATTAATTTAAAAAATTACTGTGTAAAATCATCACCATGGAGAGAGAGGAAGTGAAAGGGGAGGGCTGACTCTACATGATCCAACTTACATACAGATTTGACTTAACAAATTTCCATTTTCTCAGGTACCTGCACACTCCCTGTATTTTTGAGTATCTTTCTAGTGAAGCTTTTATTAGCAAAGAAACTCTAGAGTGATAATAGATTGCTCAAGCCCCTGCCCTACTTACTATTTATTGTCCCTTTGTATATATCATGTCAGTGTCACATGCAGGTATTTTTGTATTTGTATGACATACAGGTATTTTTGATGGATTGATTGATTGATAGTTAATGAACAGTTTGCAGATTTACATTTCTACAAGTCACTTTCATTCTGGTTTTCTTAAAAATGTGCATGTATATTAGGCCATGGTGACCTTAAGGAGTGCTTACATCCATATATGTCTATCTGGCCTTTGGGATCGATGCAGGGGACCATCCTGCATGAGCCATTACTTAGGGAAGTAAGAGGGATGGCTGCCAGGCAGAGAAGCTTTTCTGCTGCTGTTTCTTATATTTGTAATGCTCTCCCTGAGGAGATTTGCCTGATCCCTTCCTTATAATCCTTTCAGCACCAGGCAAAGACCTACCTTTCTTTAAAAAAAATGTTTTATTATTTAGTAGATGCTACTTAACTTCCATTTGTATTTGAAAATGATGTAATTTATATATTGGCTTTTATATTTATATATAGCTGTTGTTTTATTGTTTTTATAATTAAAAAAAGTTTTATTGTTAAATGCCTAGAGATGCCATGGGTGGGATAGGTGGCATATAAATGTTTAAATAAATTTCTTACTTTACTTTAAATAAATAAATTTCTTACTTTTTCTGTTTTAAAAAGTTATTCCTGTTCTCTTCCTTAAATCATCATACTCTAAAACAAATGCTATCACTTTATCATTATGCCACATCTTAAGGCACAAAGTGATGAGCTTGGGGCAAGCAGCAGCAGCAGCAACCCTCCACAATTCCTATTGAGTTATAATCATTACACATGAATTGATTTGGATATCCCCTTATATGTTCTCTTCAATATTCTTTAATAACTGTAGGGAAACATTATTATGTCCTATTTCTGTTAGTGATATGTAGATTAAATGCAAGGAACAGAAACAACAACAAATCATCCTGAAGCATCTGAAGTTCAAGTTGAAATCAAAAAGTTAACCAGTAGCATTATCATTTCCTATACATCAAATTTAATGATATGTATAATCTGAGATGTAGGGCATTCAGAATGTCATTGCCTCTGTTGCCCCCCCCCCCAAAAAAGAAGTCTTCCTCCTTTTTCTCATTTGGCTTTTTTTATATATATATCTGCTGTTTTGATTAACTTAATTCATTGCTTTCATCTTAATTACCACTTGATTATTCATTCCATTATCTGTTCCGTGAAGTGTTCAGAGACACATAGAAACAGAGTGAATCAGAAGGGGTCTCCTGGGCCATCTAGTCTGACCTCTGGTGGCTCCAGCCAGCTCCACTCGTGAGCAACACAGGATGGTCTCTCTCTCCACACAGACACACATGCTTAGAAATTACAAGTTAATGGCAGAGAAGTGAAGGTGGGTATTAAGCTTCCATTCACATAAATCCTCAAATATCAACTTTTCCTCCTCTTGACTCTATGTTGTGATAAAGGAGGCATATTTTGTAATTAGGCTTTCCTACTGTCCTACAGAGGTTTATTTGATCAGGAGAGACCCTGCTCTGTCTTCTTTCTGGTTTAGGGTATTAATCTAGCCCCCTTGGTTTCTTTCTCAAACAAACAGATAAAAAGATAGAGTAGAAGATGATACTTGAAGATGTAATGCCAGAACAAGTGTATGACAGAAGTCCAAGTGCAGTTGCTCCCAGGCCTTTATTCAGCACAGTTAATGTAAGCATCTGTGACAACCGTAAAATATTTTTATAAGGACAAAAAAAGGAAATTGAAGCAATTATGTCATCTGATAATACAATTAATTGTGTGATCTGATCATTGATAATTCCTTCAAGCCATATACTGCCCAACACTAAATTTGCCAACTCAAACATATAATTTAGTGTATATATGTATATTAAATAGATAATTATACCTCCCATACCCCAAAAGCATTCAGAGTTGTTAACAATGAAAAAGAATCAAAATAGAACTATTATTACTATTATTATTTCAGTAAACTGTTGTCCACTTATAGGAATGGAAAAATCTTTCCAGTTTGCTTTTTTCTCCATTTAAATTTAATGGTGCAATACTAAATTGTTCATGTCTCCTCAGAAGCAATTCTTATTCATGGAAAATATGTATAGTATTGCAGCCTAATTCTCAAGTACTCCCTGTCCTAAATCTGAAGAACTTTTAAAATGTTGGTAAATTCTTATAAAAATGAATAGAAACAAACAAAAATAATGTCATCTCTCTGCACTGGTCAAATTCAAGAGGTACATCTATTTCCAGCATGGCAGGAACCATCATGTTCCTGCCTGTCATAAATGAGGAAACAATCAGAAAAAAGAGACAAACCTGATTCAACACAACACAGTATAATTAAAATATTTAAAAATAACTTTAAAGAGCAAAGGATTTGAAGACATGGGCCCTGATGGGTAAGGTTTGACCTCATTCAATTTTTTAAAAGTATCTTTCAAATATGGAGAACTTTGCAAATGTTGGTAACATCTGACCAAAACCAAACTGAACCAAAATTCTCTTCCATCTCTAGTCACAACTGACACATGAAAAGAAATGATGCTAGGTTGAGAATCACACTCAAATTACAGATCTTTTAGGGAAGATCTTTTAGGGAAAGTTAAGAACATATCCTTTAGGCCAAAATGTAAAGCTGCACTAACAGCATTTCTTCTATTTTATTTAGATTATGTTTCATGACAGCTAGCAAGTCTTTTCCCTCTGTGGTGGATGTTTAAGAGAATTGTGAATATGAGAAAACTGTCTTCATATAGAAAGTGAATGCATAGTTGGACTTAATTCAAAAATTAAAGTGTTATTTTTTACTCAATGCCCAACTTTTACTTGCTGCGAACAAACCTTGTTTTTTTCACCTTGTTTGGAACTTCAGTTGTAAGCAGTAAGGGTCTATAATCTTTGTAAAAGCAAGGTCAGATTCAAGGCCAATACACACACAGCATGTTTTAGCTACAGTTTCAATCCCACATTTTTTATTTGCTGTGCTTGCCACTCATTCTTCTTCAAACCTCTCATCCAGGAAGTAACATCTTTCTCAAGGCCATTTGGATATCAGTCATTTATATGCAAGCCTACTTGCCTTACACTGTCAACTATTCACCAAGAATCCTGGACTATATTGTTAGATTAATAAGGGCCAAGTTATATGGTACTTACAGAATTAGTACCTTTAGTTCTACAGTAACTAGGAATAGAAAATCCAGCCTAAGGTCTGAAAAGTTGAGTAGAATCAACTTTGA